AACTATGCGTCGACCTTCAGGTATGCTATTATCTACATTATTACTATGTATTGCCACCTCCCTGCCGTCATAACTATTTTCGTTATCTGCGGCATCCAGGAAATTTTTATTATACGTACCTTGCGGTGTAATATCCTGCACAATTGTATTTACTTGTTCATTCATTACTCCGGCACTGCCTTCTGAATTCACCAAATTAGTCTGCGAGTTTTTGTTATCTATTTCTATCTCTTTCTTCGATAGCATCTGCCTATAAAACGAAAAAAGGATTATAATATGATATGAAATAACGAATTCTTCTGTGAATATACATTAGTCAATAACATGTTATTTCCGCGCTTGATAATTTTCAACATATCTCGGTAAGACGTAAAATCTGGGAAATTGTGCATTCTTTCCTTATTGTTCCAACTAATTATAATGAATGATGTGTATGTGTGTGTGTGTGTGTGTATTTGTGTGGCGCGCAAACGTCTATGTATTAGGAATGTGATTTACTTTTGAAGTTCTGTGCTGCATTTTTGTCCAATAATGCTTATAAATCTACAATATGTACTGTACAATTTGTAATGAGCTATGTATTGTTGATTACATTGCTCATTTGACTTATATGATATTGCGAAAAAAGTGGAACGCTATAAATTTCCTTGGAATATTTTTCTTAAAAAACTAGTACGTTTATTTTGTCAGAACACATTGCATTGCAGGTAGTACAATGTCTAAAATGGAGACATAAGATATTTTTAAGATAAAAAGAATTTTTATACAAACCTCTTTGCCCAACCTCTTTTTCGTACAAGTCGTTTGGCCGTAATGGTCTTCATATGTGTAGTAAATTTCTTGCTTTCCATCTTCTTCACGTTTTCACGACGGTTGTTATGTAATTACGCGTTATCACATTTCACTATTTGTATGAGAAATAAGACCAAGCAAACTTTTGCATACATGCAGTACGATGCTGTCAGTCAAAACTGTCAACAGGGTACTGATACGCTGCGATGCGCACGCGATCACTCGAGAGTGCATTGTTATTGATGCGCGATATTATATACGCTATTATATGAAATCGTATTACTTCGCGTGTAAGAATCAAAAATACAATAAGTCGATTATGTAGGATACCTTGAATAAAAGACATTTATAAGTCTTTGATGCAGTTCGTATTAAAATGTAAGGGATATGTCACAAAAATAAGAGAAGGAAATATTAATAGAAAGTCTAAATGGAAAGATAAAAGGAGAAAGAGAGAGGGACGGGGGGAAAATAAGGAGGGAGAGTGCGAAAGAATGAAAATTAATCCCTCTCGCTCTAATAGGAGTATTCCAATTACGCACAGACCTAATCGGACAAAGCAACCATAGCACCGTGTGCAAAAGCTATGCCGAGTGAAGAAAGTTGGACAAAAAGGGGTTTGTTTTCTGACCGTAATAGTTCCTTATTTTATTTCCACCTTATATTGAGGATTGCTCCGCTTCATTCTCGTACGTACTTTCACCATATAAAAGAGTTTATAATTCAGCGCATGTAGGAAAAAGTAATCTTTGCAGAATGATTCGGTGTCATGTTAGTAGCTGACCATCGTTTTCCTTTCATACTGAAGAATGCTCCGCTTCATTTTCGCACGTCCTTTTACCATGCAAAAGAATTTATAACTCGGTACATGTAGAAAGAAGCAATATTTGCAGAATGATTCAGTCTCATGATAGTAGCTGTCCCTTATCGTTTTCCTCTCATATTGAGGAAAGTCCCGCTTCATTTTTGCACGTACTTTAACGATGCAAAAGGGTTTTTAACTCGGCGCATGTAGAAAGAGGTAATTTTTGCAGAAAGATTCGGTGTCAAGATAGTAACTGTCCCTTATCGTTTTCGCCTTATATTGAGGAATACTCCGCTTTATTTTTGCACGCACTTTCATCGAATTATAACACTTGAAATTTCCAATACTTGGACATAGAATACAAAATATCTCGTAAAATATTCATCTTTCGATTACCTTGCCTTAATGCTTTTTTGCATAAAATAATGAGACAAATGATTCAAGGTCAAACCAATTACACCCTTTTATAGATCTCTTCAAACTAAACAACTTTTATCTGAAACAGTTTTCTTTAAAATAGTTTGTTTTCAAGATATTCGACTGTTTCCAGACTTTTCTAACACCCTGTATGTCCGACAGTACGAAACACAAAAAAAAAACATTCAACGCTGTCGCCTCGTTAGCCGGACTCGAACACTCGCTGCTGGTGCAGAAAGTACCAGCGCAAGAGCCATAGTCCCCTTAGCTACGCCGCTTCGATGGAAGTAAATGCCACATTGTGTCTTATATGAGGCATGGCTTCATGACTTTTACTTCGCATCGCAATATTTAGGAAACGAAGGCCCATTCACCTAAACCCTTTTAGAATATTCATACTCTATATTACGTTTATCGAGGGCGTTATATCTCGTTAAAAATCGATTTTGCAGTTGACGTCATCTCCTTGTCAGTGCGTAACGAAAATAATATCTCAAATTTTCATTAAAATTTATATAGAAAGTTTATGTACTAGATAACATACATTCAAAACAATATTCGCGAATTACTCTAATGCGTACAACACACTTTTCGAAAAAACACTGATACACTCAGTACATAAGCTGTTAGAAGAATTCATCATAAAAATAGCAAAAGCCTTTTGGAGAGAATGCGAATATCAGCAACATGACATTTACTTTTACGTACCATCTATGTGTAAGAAAATTGAAATAACAACGTAGCACAGCACTTGCATAGCATCTGTGAAGGGACGATAAATGAAAAAATAATGCGGCGCAACGATAGCGTGAATATGTTGCTTATCAAATGTAACATTTTGACGATTGTGTTCGTTCCGTACAGATACTTATAGATATGTTATAGATATATTATAGATTGAAAATTTTAAATAGATTTTTTCTTATCGTTTTCGTCTCATAATGACGAATGCTCCGCTTCATTTTCGCACGTCGTTTTACCATGCAAAATGGTTTATAATTTGGCGCATGTAGAAAGAAATAATTTTTGCAGAAAGATTTAGTGTCATGATAGTAACTGTTATCGTTATCGTTATCCGTTATCGTTTTTTTCTCATATTGAGGAATGTCCTGCTTCATTTTCGCACGTACTTTCATCATGCAAAAGGTTTTTAACTCCGTCCATGTAGAAAGAACTAATCTTTGCAGAAAGATTTAGTGTCATGATAGTAACTGTCCGTTATCGTTTTCCTCTCATATTGAGGAATGTCCCGCTTCATTTTCGCACGTACTTTTATCATGCAAAAGAGTTTTTAACTCAGCGCATGTAGAAAGAAGTAATCTTTGCAGAAGTATTCGGTAATTTTGTTATGATAGCATTTTCTTATCGCTTTCTTCTCTTATTGAGGAATGCTCCGTTTTATTTTTGCACGTACTTTTACCATGTCAAAAGGTTTTTGATTTAGTATAATCAGCATGACGAAAGTTTTGCAAGGGTGTCGATATCACGTCAACGAAATTTTGCTACAAATATATACATGTAACTGTTTTCTTTACTACTCATATAGTAATAAGAACCAAACAAATAATTAATGACACAACAATTTGTACGAAGAGTGTAACTATATGAATGCTATATCGTACTATATTTCTAAATGGTGAATTACTATACATTTGGTAAACTAAATAAATTTGGTAACTAAATAAATACTTGCAACACCAATCATATGCACACAATGAATTTAACCACAGTAATGGCTTTTGCGTATAATGGCTTTTAGGACGCGGACACGCTTGCCATATGGGAAGAGGCAATGTGATAGTTAATAAACTTACAGTTCGTAACTCTCTGCTGACAACGTGAAGTTACGGAACATATCCAACAACGTATATTTGGGATTGGATCCGACCCGAACGTTGTCAGCAGAGGGTTAATAAAGCAGTATGTTAATTGACTTCATGTTTTGCCATAAGTTTCCACATCTTATGTGTAAAAGCCATAATTGTAAGTTAGATATAAGTACAAAGAACACAAAGTGCAAATAATATAGGCTCCGTTCAGTTTGGACGCGTTATAAACGCGTTATAAACGTCATTCTATCTATATTGTTTATTCGATGCTAAAGGAAGATAGAAGATGTTTACAGCGCGTGAGCGTCCAAAGCGAACGCAACTATAAAGAACGAACTTCGCATCAGTGCTGCAAAAACGTCGGCTGCCGACGTGGCTTCACACCGATAGACGAAGCAGCAACGTTTTATGCGTAGGAGTAGGCGCATGGAGGGGACACTTCTCGTACGGTCAGTGATCACAGATAGGCCCCCTTTTTCGCCCATGCGCGACGAAAACAGCTTCAGTGAAGTATATAATGTTCGAAAAAGGAGTGCCGTTGAGCCAAATTATATTTGCTCATAAAAAAAGAATAACATATATTGAATTTAATTTATGAAATTATATATAGAATTTAATATGTAAAATTATATATACTTCACTGAAGCTGTTTTCGTCGCGCATGGGCGGAAAAGCGGGCCTATCTGGGATCACTGCTCGTACGCTGCTTCGCATTTCCTGCGTTGCCAGTTCGATACATTCAACCGTTGTGATATGCAGATGTTCAGACGTGAACGTGTTTGAACACGCTCGGACCTGTAATATTTGTGGAACGTCCCTCGGAATTGAGTCCAAGACTTACGTTTATACATATTTTGATAATGGTGAAAGAGCCGCAAGAATAAGGCCTGCAACGAAAAAGAAGGAAGGAAGAAAAGAAGGAAGTTCAATACATTCGCGACGACGGTTTTTCCGGCAGTGAACAGTGAAATATTGACGTAGAAGTTACGCGTTGTATTATAGTGGATGAAATCTTTATGGGAAAAATCACCATTTACGAAAAAGTAAGTCATTTCCATAATAATAACTTTTATATCGCAATATCTTTAGTTATTTGATTAATTTCATTACATTTGATGTCTTACTTAACCTCATTTCGTTTAACATGTTTCATTGTCACGTAGATTACATATATCCCATATTTAACTTCTAAGTTATAGTCGGTAATTATCCAGTTTAGCGGCCTCACCTCCGATTTTGATGAAAGTAGGCTCAATCGACGCGTTTTTGCATGCCAAATAACTTTTTCTTCTGACAAAATCGTCGCTTTCTACTGCGAAGCGAGATATTAATTGACAAAGTTGAGGGCGTGTTAGGTTAGAAAATCTGTCATACTGTCTATCTCTAGCTATGTAACTGGGGGGCTTCGCCCCCCAGACCCCCCTATCAGGGGGAATGGGGGCTATAATCTCTTATGCTTAATTAAGCTAAAGAGTGAATTTCTCACAAAAGACTGTAGCCCCCACCCCCCGTGATAGGGGGGTCTGGGGGGCGAAGCCCTCCAGTTACATAGCTAGAGATAGACAGTATGACAGATTTTCTAACCTAACACGCCCTCAACTTTGTCTATTAATATCTCGCTTCGCAGTAGAGAGCGACGATTTTGTCAGAAGAAAAAGTTATTTGGCATGCAAAAACGCGTCGATTGAGCCTATTTTCATCGAAATCGGAGGTGAGGCCGCTAAACTGGATAATTACCTTATAGTCTTGTGTGTGTGTGTGTGTGTGTGTGTGTGTAAAAGATATAAAAGTATGTTAAATTATTAGCATGTACTAGTTTCTTGTCTTTGCTAAACGCCAATGTTTCATTTAATAGTAAAATTTGTTGAAATATATGTAATGTTCTGAGAATACAGCTAGCAGTATATATTATGTGGATCATGTGTGCCTTATGTTGTCGGAAGTATACAATATATTTAATGTTTAAATATCATTTTATATATATCACGCAAAATGTTAGATATCGACTATGGTGTGCAGAAGTCTTCACTGAATGATTATTTCCTATTATTATACATATTCTTTCTATAGATAGATGAAGACATGAAAAAAGAGAATGATATCTATTTTTATCTATCTATTCATCTATCTATCTGCAAAACAAATATGTCAAAAGAATAATCATTCAGCACAGAATTTTGTTGATATAATATTTTGATGACAACACAGTTGATATAATATTTTGATTCATATAAAATGATGTTCGTAGTTCTGATGATATAAGATAACACATATGATACAGATAATATGTATGAAGTCATAAAAAATTGAACTGGAATGAAACGTGTTAAAGCAATTGAAGTATTTCAATGGAATAACTCTTTCCATTATTTAACTTAAGTTTAACTGTAAGTTTAACTTTATGTTTTGTGTTAATTTACTTTCGTCTTATTAACTTTTCTTCAATAACAATTTATGCTTCAAATTTCCTGTCTTGCATGCTATATTTTTGCAGGCTGGACATGTCTTAGGTCTGTTACTTTTGAGGTCACAATCACAATATTATTAAAATGTCTTATTTTATTGAAAAAACTTTAACGAAGTGGGGTATTTCTCAATATATTGACAAATTTAAAGGTTATTATTACATTTTTATAAGATTAATGTAGAATGAAAGTGTGTAATTGTATTTTATCCTTATTTATTTAGATGAGTAAGTTGATGAACAAGCATTTCTGTTTATGCCTGACTCTATGGTTAAAGAATTGATACCTTCAATTGGACAACGGTTCACTTTTCTTACAAATCGGAAAGTATTGCTTGAAAATCAGCTATTGGTTTGTAACTATTCAATATTAGTAAAATAACATGATTTATAATTTTAATGACTGTTTTATATGCAATCAAAATTAAGAAATTATATATATAATAAACATTTAAAACATATAAGAGTATTTTAAATGTTTACAATAAAAGTACAGGTACAATATTTAATAACAATACAAACATTAACACTATATTTAATAAATTTAAATAAAGTTTATATTTATAAATAAAATATAATTCTCATTCAATAACATCTTTTTTTCCAATTAGAATAGATTATTTAAATATCTTCCATTATTTATTTTTTGGTAAAGGTGTAGAAAAAGGGCGCCACCTCAGATCAGCCTGATCTTGACATATGTCATAGAGGTCACCCTTCTGAGTGACCTTCTGAAGATTTTAGCCGTCGCTCATTGTTTGTTAAAAAATTATTGATGAAAGAAGTCCGAAAAATATATTACAATTTTTCGATACTGTGTCCCGTTAACGAGCAATATCGAAAGATAAGTGCGATATCGAACAACTAGCGGGAGGCTACGTCCCCCGCACACTCCCT